CCTGACCACAGTGGACCCAGAATGAAGTAACGAAGTGGACCCCCACAGGGACTATACCTGCATGCTCTGGGGCGAGAGCTGGCAAGGGGAAACTGGTTGTGGGAACAAGACTGCCAGACTGGAAGAAAGGCCTGTTCTGAACCAAACCCTACGTGCCCACGCCTCTCACACGCAGACCAGTCAAACCTCCGCGCCAGCACTGAAACGAGCCACGCAGGCTGGAGAATACACTGCGTATACACCAGTAGCTCCTCAAAGACACCGGGCTTGGTGCACCGAGACAGCAGGAAGTCTGCCCCAAAGAGCAAACGCTTCAAGGGAGAGAGAACAACTGGGAGCCCCGGACTTCGCTCCCTGCTCGTCCCTGCCCAAGCACACAAATCCCGTCCCTTCTCTGGCTGCACATTCATATATCCGATTCTGAACCAGAACCACCGGAGGCTTTGCTTCACAAGGAGACTCACAATGGTGCTCTGGCTCCCAAGACAGATCTAGAAACTCCCTGCCCGCAACATTCACGCACCAACAGCCGCCAGGAATAGGAGTGCATTTCCTTTCCCCCTCTGCCACCACGTCAGCCCCCAGATACCCGAACCACTGCCACCCCATCCATCCCCGCAGTCCGACCCTCAGAGGCAAGTTCAGTGCAAGGCCCATCAGCGCAGCTTGGAGCATCCCATTACTACAGCTCAAAGGCGGCAAAGCCTCGCAGGGCTGAGACAGCCCAACACCGATAGCCAGAACGCGCGCACACCAGGCAGAGCTGCCGACTGCTGAAGTCTATTAATAGGGATACTTGGAGAAGAGGGACGAGGTTCAGGCTGCACTAGCATGCACCGGAGGTCAGCATCGTTATCCATGTTTGCAAGGCCCACTTGGAGCTGAAACAACGCGGCAGAGCAGTGGAAGAGCCGGAGCAGAAGCCAAGCTGCTCGAGTCCGGGTCCAGGGCTCTTAGGCTACCCTGGGGGAGATTCCTTGTTAGTAGTTACGCAGTTTGTGCTGACGACTCGCTCAGTGCTGAAGGATGCCAAGAACAGCTTCTGCCATGGGTGGATTCAGGATCACGGTGGTGCCCCACGTCAGCGCTGTGGCATACCTCCAGCGAGGAAAGCCCTACCCCTCCCTCCCTCCGCCTGCTGCAGAACCGAGGGGGAAGGCAGAAGGGGTGAGCAAACAGCAGCAGCTTGGGCGCTGCATGCAAGCTGGGGCCCTGGGCAGACCCCATGCCAGCCAGGATTTAGCGTGGGGGGCTCTACAGGGATCTGGCAGGAAATCAGAGAGCTAAGCTGGAGATGACGAAGCGGGATCCACTCGGGGAAGTCCAGTATCAGCCTGTGCTCATAAGCGAAAGTAGCATCTAAGGCAGGGTGTCAAACATCTGGCCCTGCAGGCCAATGAGGGGTGCAGGGCCAGCCCGCAGGCAGAACAGACCCAGAGACAGCCCCATGCCCCGGACCCAGCGCGCAGGGTCGGTGCAGGCAGCTCGCGCAGTGCGCACCCCAGACCAGCCCGACGCGCTGCACGCAGCACGGGCCGGCCCCAGTCGGGTCCGGTGCAGAGCCACCCTAGGCTGCGCACTGCATGAGATGCCCATGACAGACCGGCCCTGCATGCTGGCTCTGGGGGATGGAGCTCGTCTGTGGGCCTGATCCAGCCTGGATGTGAAGCCAGCATGCAGGACCAGTCCAGCGGGGTGAAGCATGCAGCGCATGCCCCTAACCAGCCCCCTATGCTGTGTGCAGTCTGTGTACCCAGTACAGCCCCACATGTCACGTGGAACCTGAAGTTTCAGTGCATGTGGCACGTGGCACCTGTACCCGGCCTGCCCTGCATGCTGGCTCCAGCACTCGGCGACGGCCTGTGGGTCCAAACCAGCATGAAGGGTAGGCCAGCATGGGTGTCACGTGCTGTGCGCGCCCTAGACCAGCCCCCTACGCTCCGTGCAGCACGCAGGGTCAGATCCAGCCTGCAGGCCATATCTTTAACACCCTGGATGTAAAGCACAAATAACTAACAAGAGAGAAAGAAATGAATAAAGCTGAAGACAACTGAGCAACGATAGCACGCATCAAACTAATCGTGAACATGTACTGCAATGGACTGGTGCTGGAAACCCTTTTGACAGAGACTTGTCAGACCAGGGAGGCACGTTCTGCACAGGAGGCATGTGAGATACAGCCCGTTCGAGCTGCCACGGCCAGTACAAGACGATCCGTTGGGCTGTGCAATCACCTCCGCAGGCAGCCCTGGGAGATCAGCAGGTGCATCGCTGGAAGTGCAACTGGACACAACACTGGTGTAAACGCTGCAAGGAACAGCTCGGGCACAGGCTAGATGGGACCCTGCAGAGGTACTTGGTCTCGAAACTTCTAGGAACTAAAACAAGAGCAACTGATACACCAGCCACCCCCCGCCTGAGAGGATAAAGCTTCTCCTCTACCTGCCTTCTCGCATGGGTGGGCTGAAATCTGCTTAAAAACTAAGTGTAACATCCCAGCTAGGGACTGGCAAAGCAGACAGTGCTCTCTTTTGAATCTTTATTAAGCTAAGAGGTTTCTTTCCTGCCTTTTTTAACCTCAGGAGAGCTAAACATTTTTGTACGAGGCAGGGATTTCTTGTGATACCTCTTACTAGACCAACTGTGCAGCTGAGAGAGGTGTTAAATGCTTTCAGTGCCGTTCTGCAGGTTACCAAACCCCAAAGTCACTGATGCCTGAAAAACCTGTCCAACAGCTCTCCCAACCGCACAGTCGGTCCAGGACAAGGCATCACAACCCCCCTTGCCTCTTGTGCACTTCCTGGACCATCACGGCTACAAGACTCCAGCCCTGCTACAGGAGCGCGCCTGTCACTGTTGTTCTCCTGGTTGAGGGTGGCTCATGTGGACGAGGCCACAAACCGGGGTGAAGCTCTATCAGACGGGTTTGAAAGGGTGCCTTTCCTTCCAGTGCTGTACACACACACACACTCTCAAATCTTCAGCTGTCCCTTCCCCTCTCAGCTCATCGGGTTCCACCTCTGCAGCGTTTGTGACGGCATAATCCTGACAGATCTCCAGTTACTCATAAAGCCTTCGAGGAAAAAAGTGATAAGACCTGCCTGAATTTTGAAACTGAGAGAAACAGAAATATGTTTTCTAAAATAAGATTTTCCAGCCTCTTTCTGGTAGAAGAGGGCACCCAGCCAATTTTTCTCTCTTCACATTTCACTGCTAGAAGAACGCACAGATACCACAGTATTTACAGGTCCATAAACTACAAACCAGAGCAGATTTTTTCGACACTGCAAGGGCCTCTTTTGGCTACAGTTACATCCAGTCCTCCAGCAATTCTGCGGCACAGAGGAGATGCGAGTGCAACTGGCCCCTGCGAGCCGCGGCACCCGCAGAGGATCTTCCCAGGCGAGGAGGGATGACTCCATGCCTCCTGCCTCCATGAAATGCAAGCCCACAGACCTGCCTCTCAGATGGAGCGCGTGGGCTTAATTGGACTCTAATGAGCTGATGTCTTTGACTTCACTTTTAAAACAATCTCAGTTCCTCGTGGAGCAAGATGCATTTCAGCAACTGAATCCTCCATCCACCAACACTGGTGCAAGATCTGCACTTTTATCTCCATCCACACAACGTTTTCACCCAGGGACTGCCCTCCCGTCTCAACTGCTGCAACCCGGGCCCTGCTCCCTGCCCCGTCACAACGACTGCACCGTGCCTGGAGCCGGGCAGGAATCCACCCCCACAAAACGGCTTCGTTGGAGGACCCGGCGGTGCTCCAGAACTGAAGCCGTTTGGGGAATATTATCAATGTCAGCAAAACTTCCACTGGGGAAGCACAGGAGGGCTTTTCTATCAGAGCACAAGTGAGCAGGCAATGTTTAGCTGCCTCTCTCATTTCCTAGGTGACTGCCTTAATGACCTGGCTTCTGGGGTGTTCATTTATTTTTCCAGGAGATATTTTGCCATGTCTTGGCTCTGTTCCAAAAGGGGAATGACAATGAATTTTGAAACCTCTCTTTTTTCTGCCCCCAGGAAACCAAATTCCTGTTTTCTGGGCAGCCTAACCACCCGCTCTGGGAATCCCGTCTTCAAGCCCCTCCTCTATCCAGTCCCAATTTGTCTGCTCCGTTCTTCCCGCATCACCCGAGTGCTTCCTCCTTCCCCTGCGCTATGAACTATGCCAGCCTTGGCTGCTGCTTGCCAAAGTCTGGCATAAACGTCTCCATGTTTTCCCATCCAGCCCCTTAAGGAACATTTTTCCTGAAGTCACGCTATTTGTAGGAAATCAGTCGGTGATTGCATGGGGGCACAGGAGGCTACCTGGCCCTAGCCACATAGATTGGTATTTCTCTGATAACATGTAAAGGGCCCATCCATTACAGTTGCTTGAATTGATTGCGTCTTAGCCTCCCCTCCATCTCCAGCAGTCTTAGCCACCGGTCCGCAGACACTCACGTACGCAGGTAACTTCACACGCGTAATCACTCCCATTGACTGGGCTACTCTCATGCTTACGACCCCCTAAATTCAGGGCCTTTGACTGGGAGCTCCTTGAGGCAAAGATTATCTTCTCAGATGGGCACGCACAGCGCCTTGCACTAAGGACCCCTGCTCCGTGCTATACACATGTAAAAATATCGCTGCTCTAGGGGAAGGGAGACCGTGACAAGAAAAGTCGGGAGCTCGTCATGAAGTTTTGTGTACAAGTCACATACCAATGGTCATATAATGGTCAACTGCGACAGCCAACTTCTTTTCACGTTAGAAAAGTGCTACTCACCAGCATCAGCTGTTGGACACTTCCGAATGGTGAAGATCTGCCCCAAGTCTTCCTCTTCCTCAGGGAGGCCCTTCTGGAGGCGCTGCAGTTTGCGCAGACTCTCGCTCCGCTGATGTTTCATGGAGCGCACGTGCTGGATGAGGTTCAGTTTGGCCTTGGTGGAGTAGTTGCAGAGGACACAGTGATAATAGCAGCTTTCACCCTCGACCCCACTCTCATGATGCTGAAGGTGCTGTGAAGAACAAAGCGGAGACGTACATGATAAAGTCAAAGTTGTCTACACCCCTTCCCCAGCCTCTAAGGTTACAGCACGGCAAGCTACGGAAAGGTGACTTGGACCTCAACGCCAGGAAAAATACTGAACAAAATCCAAGTGCAAGATCAAGATGTTCCTCGGGTGGTTACTGTGACGGTACCACGAGCAGGAATTTACCTGGCACCACTGTACTGACCGACAGCAACTTACAGAGAGACGGGGCTGCGTCCGGAAAGAGGAATGATCAATGTGGGCAAGGCACGGTGCCGTGTCTTCTGAAAGGGCCGACCGCGCTCAGCGCCGTACAAGAGACGGCCCAGGCCCCAAATGCCGGAGTTTGTAACTGAAGAGCGCGGACAAAACCCTTCAGCTCCAAGTGGGCCCGGAGACCCGGAAGGAGCAAACATCCCAAAGTTTCTTTTTAAAGTGAACGGGCCTGCAGAAGGACTCGAAGGAGGTGGGTTATCAGTTTGCAGGTCTGGTGGGAAAAAGTCATTTGATGGGGTGGGTGTGAACCAAAGGAAAGTCAGTCTTTTGCTGCAGTGAGGACTCTGGGGAGTAAAGACAGCGGAGGAGAAGTTTTCAGCCCCTCAGCTACTGAATCCCCCTTACACACAGACACAGACACAGACCACCCTGACAGCCCTCAGAAAGACCCTTTATAAAGTCAACCCGCACCTCTCATGAAAAGGTGCTGCACAAGCCTTCAATAACTCGCTGCCTGTCAGAGTCCATTATTGCCGGCAGAAATATGAAATCGGGGAACTGAGCTGCTCAAAGACGTGCAGCTGAAGTGAGAAACCTAATATCACCCTCTACCCTGCGGGGCATCGAGTGCCTCCATGCTGTGCCCCCTCCCCGAGCCCTTGCTACGCGGTCGAGCCTGGAAGGGTTGAAGGCTGTGCTTGAAGGTGGTTTGATGGCCCAGGAACACCGTGCGTCAAGCGGAGGACAGGAGCAATGGAGCGTATAAATACACAGGCCCTCGCAGGCGAAGGGGAGCACTGTGCCTCACCACTCCTCTCCCACAGCTGACACCTTGCAGGAGGCCACGTGCATTTTGCCTGTCATATGAGAGGAAGAGAGGAGAGAAAGAAGAAGGGGGAAAAGTGAGAAATACGGGAAGGTTGAAACCTATGGGCTTCCCCATCCCGCGGAAACAGAACTTCCAACTCTTTTGCCCTCCGCGAAGCAGCCAGGGAGGCAGCACATGCTGCTCCTGCACCGGCTCCAACAACCGAGCCAGAAAGACGGACGTCCTTTTTTACTGGAAGAATCCACTGTTAAACACGGCTTGCACCCTACGAACGGCAAGACTCCGGCTCCGCAGAGCTGCTGCCAACGCCGCGCAGACAGAAGTACACGAGATAAACACTCAGCAAAAACTAAGGATGGAACAGGAGCAACCTCTTGGTCATCCGAGGAAACCCGTCGAATCTCTGGCACAGAGACCCAGCAGATCATGCTGGCACAAGGGGCCAACTGTTATCTGCCATGTCGCTGGGATTCCCACTGGCTGGAGTGAAACAGAAGTTGAAAGACAGGCGTGAACGCGCTCTCCCAGCTGCGCAGAGCATGCAGCGAGCCCTGCTTTGCGTGGATACAGCTCAGGCTGCTTCCTGAAAGGCCACGGCAGCACGGCAGATTCCCACGGCAGGTAGTGCACGGGGACAGAGGGACGCAGCCGGAGGCCGAGGATGAACTCCCAGCCCGTGGCACTGGACTGCAGCACCTGCCCCCCAGCACCAGCCCCCGCTACATGCTTGGAAGTGCTCATCTCGCCGCAGCACCCAACACCACCTCATCACCGGCACAGACCCCTGGGCACTGCGTCTTGCGCACTGTGGCTTGGGTGAACTGAAGCGCGTTCACTTTGGTCGCATGCTCAAAGCTCCAGCCACTAAGTGTTGCCGACCGAGGGCCCAAAGGCACAGGAGATCTCTCCGAGCCAAGCACTGTTCAAGAAGCAGGACGGGAACGGGAGCTGCTGCTGCTGCTTTCATCTGGAAGAGGTCGGGAAAGGAACACGCTCATCCCGGTGCTGCTAATCAGAAGAGCCTCTTCTGAAATCACGATCTATTTAATTAAATTTGTAAGACCCACCAAAGACACTTGTGCCACTGCTGCCCTCAAAGGATCTTACTGTTGCTTTCTCTCTGGGGAGACCTTTACTTCTCCCGCCCGCGCTCTCATTTCTGCTCTGTTCGTGCACTAGCGTAAGCTTTTGCCAAAAAAAGACGAAAGAAAAGCCAAGACTGATGGAAGGAAATGGGGACGTCACAGTGTTGTGCTCAGCTCAACCAGCCCAGTCCACGCGCTCTGCCGACTCAGGTCTCACGTGGGCAAGAGTTCGGGACTGTGGCAAAAGCACTCATCTCCCCAAGGGCAGTAACTGCTGGCAGAAGCCTCCCAAGTCCTGAGCAAACACAGGGAGCCCAGGAAAGAGATGCAGCACTTCCAAACCAGATCAGATGCAAGGACCACTTGCATCCTGCCTCCTCAAGCAGCCTGTACCGCAAGGTGCAAGAAACCCCGAGCAGGCACCTATGGAAAACCTCGACCGTGCGGGAATTTCCTTTTGCACCGCCTGCTCGAGGCTACCTCCCGCCAGGCGGTAATACAACCGACACCCGGTTCAGGGGAGGTCATCCACGAGGCATTTCCCAATCTGGGGTGCTGCACGCACGGTTTAAGGGAAGATTTGAGAGTGAGCTCTCTGATAACCACAGGAACAAGTCTCACTGCTCTGATTCAAGGCAGACTTCAGGAAACCATTTATTTTAAGCAACTTTGTACATCTCTGTCTGCTGCAGGGCTGGTCCCTTCCCTCCCATCCCAGGGATGTAGGTGCAGGCAGGATCCCTCCCTCTTAGGTCACAACGCGCACACAGCCCAATGCCTAGACGGCCAATCAGTCTGGCATGGACGTGGCAGTGATGTCACACTTACAGTACTGTGATTTTACTGCAGAAGTACACTAGGGGAAAAGCAGGCAAGCACATCACTCCGGCAATTATTGGCCGGCGCATTACTGAGAATGATGAAACACAGGACAGGTAAGTGTAGTTATAGTCCATCATGCTGTAAAGCTTTCCCCAGCAGAGAATTCCCCTCCTTGCACAAACACACATTCAAAATACTAAACAAGAACGCTCATTAGAAGAAAATTCAACTTGAAAATCAAAAGAATATATTGTTCCTCAGGAAAACCAACCAGCTCCTGTCAGACAGCATTGATCTCTGCAAATCAGGAGGGGGTACTCGCCCCTTCCAACAATAGGAAACTTCTAACATCTGGTTCTTCACGCATGGAATGCAAAATATCGATCCGGTTCAGTCCGGGCTCCACTCGAGAGCAGGCACCGGCAGAAGCACTTTCTGATAGAAACCAGAAGGCTCGCAAGTGAAGCTTCCCAGGGGAAAAGGCCCGCGACTGTGCACACACTAACCACCCCGTGACACACACTGCTCACACCACCTCTCTCAGCCTACACACAATTCAAAATCAAGTCTGCGCCTCCTCTGCTTGAGGAGCACGCTGGGTCTGGTTGCAGCGTTCCTGTCGGTCCCTAGCGGAGAAGGTGCTCGGGGAAGGAGCGTAATGCTGAAGGTGTCCCGTGTCATTTATTTGCAGGTGCTTTTGGTACTAGAAAAATTCTGAAGCCCTCAATTAAATACCCCTCCTCTGAAACACTCTCCCCAACATCTTCGCCACGCAATGTGCGCCCTCCCTATACGTGATTTGCCTATTAGCAGTTTATGAGAAAAGCTACTTACAAAAATGAAGATCCCAAGCTCACAAAAGCAGGTTCCTACTACGTTATTTTATCCTCACCTCTGCAAACATGCACCACTATCCTGATCCACAGAAAAGGCTGGGTCAGGGGTGGGACATGGATGGGATGATCTCCTTTAGACAAACTTTGTATGAAAATTAGACTGTGGAAGAATCTACCGTTACCATCTCCTTGGACGTCAGAAGTGGAAGTCTGCTAGGACAGAAAGATACCGTCACGGCAGCTCCAAGTCACAGACCGTAGTAAAGCTGTGACCCCCAATCACTGAGCCTGCCCATTACTTTTCAAGATTTGCGTTTAAGGAAAAAACAGACAAACACAAACTGGAAATCAGGAAAGAGTTGAGGGCTTACTTCCACAGTTTCATACCAAAATATCCCAACTAACTTTGCCCCAAAGAGCTGTCACAGCATGGCCTCTCAGACGGATTAAAAAATAATATTATGAGTTGCTTTCTAAAGGACTGGGTTAAGGAAGCTGGCATGCACATTGCCTTAACCCCACTGACCACAGCAGTGCATAGCGCACATTGCAGAACGGGGCAGAGATGCTTGTCCTAGGCGCGGCGCGGCGCGGCGCGGCGCACACAACAGCAGCAGACGTGAACCTGCAGCCTGTGGGCACGGGGTAGGCCGAGGGAGGGAGCCGGGATATCGCACACAAGCGCCGCGACCGGCAGGAAGACGGCAGGCGGGCAGGGAGCACCTAGGGTCTGGACGCAGGCAGGCCCGGGGCCAGCGCACAAGGGCAGCAGCAGTTGCCTTTGAACTGTGACCTGGGGACAAGCCAGGAATGACACAAATGTAGCAGAACTGCTCAAACGTAACCCTGGATGAAACAGTGTTAAAGTTGGGGCAGTTCTGCTACATTTGTGTCATTCCCACCTTGCTCAAGGTAACAATTAGAGCACATTAGAACAACAGGTATTTACAGCCCACGATACGGACATGGAGAGGAGGGATAACTCTGTACTCCGTACCTTCCTCTGCCCTTGCCTCTCTTTACCCTTCTGTTTGGCTAGTCACCTCCTAACAAATCTCACCCCCAAGACTTTCTAATCATCATCATCATCATGACATTCTCATTAATTAGCTGAAGACATGCAGATTAAATGAATGTACTGCAAGGCAGATCCAGAAATGGCTGGATCATCGTGCTCAGTGAGTAGTCCTCAACGGCTCAATGTCTAGATGCAAGCAGGTTTCAAGCGGGGTTCATGAGGGGTCCGTCCTGGGTCTGGTTTTGTTTAACTTCTTCATTAATGATTTGGACAACAGGACTGAGTGCATGCTAATTTGTGGATAACACCACGGTGGGTGGGTGTTGTTGATGCTCTGGAAGGCAGCGCGAGGACCCAGAATGACCTGGGTGAACTGGAGAAATGGTCCCAAAATCAATCAGATGAAATGCAACAAGGATAACTGCGAAGTCCTGCGACTGGAACAGAATAACTGCATGCACAAATAGAAACTGGGGAATAAGTGGCCAGGCTGCAGTACTAGAGAGAAGGAATTGGGGATTACAGCGGAGCAGAGACCGAACTTGAGTCGACAGTGTGCTCTTGTCGCAAAAAAGCCAACAGCGTATTCAGCTGTATTAACAGGAGTGTCACTTGCAAGTAAAGGGAAGGGATTCTTCCACGCTATTCGGCACTGGGGAGGCCTCACCTGGGGTACTGTGTTCAGTTTTGAGCCCTGCTTCACAAAGGATGCAGACAGATTGAAAAGCCCAGCAGAGAGTGACAAAAATGATCAGTCTGGAAAACATGACTTAGGAAAGGCTGAAAAAGCTAAGCGTATTTAGTTTGGAGAAGAAGCAGCTGATGGGGGGTTTGATACCCCTCCAAATCCCTGAAGGCTGATTACAGGAAGGATGCAGATGAGCTTCTCTCTGCGGCCACAGGGGACAGGACTAGGAGCAATGGCCTCCAACTGCGGCAAAGGAGAGTTGGGTTGGTTGCGAGGGGGACCCTTCCCGCTAGGAGCGGGGCGAAGCAGTGGCAGAGGCTCCCTCCATCCCAGGACACCGCCACGAGCAGGCTGGACGGACACCTGGCTGGGATGGCCGAGTCAGGGATTCCCTTCCAGCCCCGCTCTCCTCCGATGCTACCAGCCTAAATGGGACCACTTTAGTCGACTCCGGTGTACACAATCAGGATGATGCACCGTGATGCTCCACCACTGAAGTGTGCCCCCTCTTACCGTAACCAGGAAGAACTGCAGTCCTTCCTTCTCACCGCACACGATGCAGTTTAAATTGGCAGAGGCCTCACAGAAATAAATGAATACACACACATAGAGAGCTTTGCACACAGAGGGCACTAGCTGAGTGAACATCATCTTGCATCTTCCAGTGAATGGAAGATTACGTCCAAAGAAGGGGCTTTACTCTTTTTTTTTTTTTTTTTTTTTTAAGTCTTAGGCAGTGGTTTCGCCTAGGATGTCTTGCAACAGAAGGGAATAAAGGCACCTTTTCCATCTCAGAGGGTATTCACAAGCATCAGATTCAATATAAAGGAGTGGGTGCTGTTAAAACATGTCTATTAATAAAAGATGTTAAAAAGACTGAGCAAAGGAGGCTAGCAGAGGGCGAGCAGAGTAGCTGAACGGTGGTGGCGAACGGCACTCGGTCAGCCCTCAGAGTTCGCAGCAACCTCTACCCTACAGGTATTTCTGTGCTGCCAAATCCCCGGCAGAGAGGGGACTACAGGCAAATCCACGAACGCAGGCCATTTTAAAAGCCCTTGTACACACGTGCTCATCCACTGGCAAATGTTCCCCACTTAGCATGTCAGGGGGTACACATGCCAGTCTCAGCCCCTCCCTTCCGCCCCAAGCGGGAAAGGTTTGCATGCGAAGTCCCCGGCCAGGGCAGCACCGTGGCACTAATTGAAAGGGGGTATCCCTCCCCCAGCTCCGTCAGGCTAATGTGTCAGATGCCCAATCATACATGGACATCTCAAAACACAAGCCTTCAAAAAATGAAACCAAAGACCAACAGAGACCCCCCAGAACAAAACCACTCAACAAAACCCTGGACCCACCGAGAGCGGAAGAAAGACGGCAGATTCCCAAATACACTTCTCTGAGCTTTATTTCTGCTTCAGTACTACAGGGCTGCGCGGGGCCAGGGAGGAAAGAATTTGGCTTTTTAAGTCCAAGCTTCGCAGTGAATCCAGCAGACGGGTCTGGCGGGACAAGCGCCCCAACCAGGATTCTGCTTTCCCTGGCTGTAACTGCACACACTCACCCCCAGCCGGAGGCCGGGATCCACGTGTGCAGAATAATAGTGCCACAGGAAGGAATCAGGGTCTGGCACAAAAGTCTCACAAACCCCGCGAGCTCCCCCAGTGCAGTTCTGATCCCCTGCGCTGCACCAGATCAATCATGCAACCTCCTCACACAAGAATTTGGATCGCTAATGAAAGGCATGTGGAGCAGCTGTCTGATGCTGGCCTCTTCCAAGCGCTCCATAAAAGTCCGAGCTGGCTCGATTCATCTTGCTCTCCTCTCGCACCTGCAGCCCACGCTGGAATTTCCTGGAGCCGTCCGCGAGGCTGGGGAGGCAGCACGCAGCGAGAGCACGTGCTCTCTTCCCAGCACCGAGAGGGCGGCTTGCCTGTCCAGACCTCTGCGAGGAGGAAGGACTGCTTTTCACCGCAGCAGGCTCAGAAGAGGAACTTCCACACTCTTCAAATTTCCTCTCCTGTCCCTAAACTGCTCACTGCTCTGGGAGCGCAGACCCACACCCTCGCCTCGGAAACCTTCAGCCTCTGGCACTACGCAGCACACGGGACGGCAGGGGTGGTTCCTGCCCGGCTCGCAGCCGTGCACATGCCGTAGTAAGTCCAGACCCGCTGCCCCACACTCTCCCGCAGTCCAGGGTCACCGTCCTCTGAACACCCAGGCATCCTTCAGCCAGCATTTTCTCCCCAGACTCAGATGTTCCCTAATGTGCCATCACTAACCATTTAAAAATGGTATTTTTAAACAAGAAATGTGGCTCTTATCTGCCTTTTAGGTTTTGAGCTTTGTCTCTGTTTTCCTCTGTAGCTATGGGGTCTACCAATTTACCTTTTTTCCACCCAAAGACACCTACATTTTTGATGCAACTGCATGACTGAGATGAGGAGCCAGTGGCTCGACGGGAGGCCCTCCGCAGACCCTCTGGCCTGGATTCCAGCCACTTGTTCCCGAGGAAGCCTCTCCCACGCTTTCATCCCGATCAGAGCCAACCAAATCCATCCAGCAGCCCGACGTGGCAGGAATCACGATGTACCCTCCTACCGGTATCAAACCCCTAAAACCCTGTCAATGGCCCTCGCATGGGGATGGCGACAGACACAGGAGCAGCAAAAGTGAGCTCTCTTTCCCAGACAGACTCAGAAGCACTCACTGAACCGCCCCATCGGTCCTTGTTTGTGACTTGGAGCAGGCCAAATTCACCCGTGCTTTCAATCAGCCCTGCTCGCCCGCGGACCTCTAGCACGTGTTTTACTGAAACTCAGTGCGGGGACCACCACCGTGCACAGGCGCTCCTGGAAGAGAGCAAGGAAGGCAGGTTTCCTCTCTAAGGCCGGGAACAAGACGGAGGGCGACCAGGGCAGAGGCGTTTTCTCCGATGATCGTGAGCCGGCACTTGCGGTGAAGGGAAGACAACAATCCCGCTGGCGGCTCTCGAATGCTTTTGGGATGCCCCATAAACAACCCAGACAAACACCCAGCAGACTGGGTTTTGCTCCCCCACCCCTTTAAGTCTCATTAAAAGCCAATATTGTTCAGCTTAAAGATGGAGAGCTCAGCATGGATTTTACTGAACGTTAAATCAACCAGCAAGCGTAGCCAGCAAACTCTGTGGCACTTTAACTTTAAATAATGCAATAATTATTGAATTTCCTTTTTATAACCGAAGTGCTGGAATGTAAACAATGGGGCTGTAATTGCAGGAAGGGGGGATCAATAGAGGCAATCGTTTTCAGCCATGTTAATTGTAAATACAATTGCTCCAAGATGTCAGCCTTGTTCTTCTCGCTCCCAGAATCATCCTAACGGATGACAGAGTCCAACTTTCCCATTACAGCTGTTCGTTCCTTTAAGAGGTTCTCAATCAGGTCTGATCAATCTGTCAAGATAATGCATGGAGTAAGTAAGACTCTTCCAAACACAAGCTTCCAATCAATAGCCTGGACCAGCTTAATGAGGAGGGGCTAAAGCCCAGAGGGAGGCAACAGCCCTAGCTTTCGCCTGTCTTTGGCAGGCTGGCTTCTTCACATGGCCCTGCTAAACGGATCAGCTCTTAACGAGGACATTGTTTATGCAGGCTCCAGTGAGCAGCAACCTTCCCCGGTCCCCGGGGACAGATGGACACACAACAACATAGATTAACAGAAAACAAGATGGGGCCAAATTAGGTTTAACTTGGACTTCCCCCTCTCTCCTTTTCTTAATTGTGCAGGCGGCCTGAGAGCACTAATTAATCATTCATTACAGGAGATTCGGATCTGTGAAAGACTCTGCATGCTCATTAAATGTGTAAAAGCATCACTAGGATCCCTCCCACCTACTTCTTCAAGAACAAAGTCCACTGGAAAACCTCTTGCCTGCCCAACTCGACCCGACAGCCATTTCCTCGCACCGAGCAGCCGTGGGCAGACGGGAGGCAGCGCCGTGCTCCAGGGCAGCGGAGCCAGCAGCTCGGCGCCGGGCGGTGGCAGGAGCCGCATTCCTCCACCTGCGAACTGTCCCGGGCCTCGAAGCATTGCTGAGGGCCCAGCCCACAGCCCACGATCCAGGCGTGTTTGGTAGTGCGCTCACAACCCAAGCGAAGGGCAGGTGAAGGAGCTCTGTGCAGGTGCCAAGTAGCTTGCAGCCGCGGCCCTTTGCTCCTCCACAGCCCCACGGGCAGACCCGCGGCCATGCTGGGGCAACTCCTTCCCAGATCCGAGAGCTTTCCAGTTCCCTTCTGCCTGCAACAGCTTCTCGAGACGGCCTGAGAGGCACGTGCTTCAGTACCTGCTCAGGTAAGTCCAGGAATATGTTACCGCAATTAGTAAGCTCCATAACGAGTAGATGGGACGACACAACCCCAGGTGACGACGTGTCCTACTGTCACCACACAGGCAGCTCCAGCCTGTTCCGGCCAGCGTTGTGCTCAAATCTCAACATCTCTCTCTTTCGTGAAGTCACCTCTGTCCCAGCCTTCGTTGCACTCTCTTCAAACCCCAACATGTAAACGATACAAAGCACAGGACCAACGTTTTAACTATCTCTTGGGACCTTCCTCTCTTCCCTGTTGCTGGCCATCCTTACGTATGCGTCTACAACGACCACGTATTATGCCGCAGCAGCGGTGGAGCGCCGAGGCGGACGCGGGGGCACATCTTGCACACAGGTTGAGGCAAAGAGCCCTTTGTGCTCGGCGGTCTGGTTCTCCCACGACTCTGCCCCCTCTGCTCAGGACGACCAGCTCCAAGCACCCAAAAGTCGACTGCGAAGCCCGCGAAGAAATCACGCTGGGCTGACGGTTATTAAACTTTAGGGGGAAAAGTTCAGACTTTTGAAAATCGGTCTTCTGATCTCTGAAGAAACCAGATGTTCAGGCTTTCTGCAAACAGGGAAGCTATCAAAAATTTGCTTCCTTTTTAAATGAAAGTTTAGATTGTCAGGATACCGGGCGCTGTGAATTCAAGGAAAACACCAGATATCACTGGTGCGAGCATCACGGCATCTGGCAACATGCCTACTGCTTTCTTTACAGATTACCCGTCTCTTCCCCCTGCCGTGGTCGAAGCAGGAGTAGCAGATCACCCACCTTTTCCCATCAAAACTTCTTTACCGTTTAGTGGGAAAGGTGAAAGAGCAGTGCTGTTTGCAGGCAACTTGATTTCACATCAGTTTACACTTCTGCGGAAAAATGTTTGCCATCATTGTAAACCGCAACAAGAACGACCGAGAACGTCCATCTCTACCAAAACTAACGAAGGAAGCTTGAATCACTGCAGCCCAGAAATTAAAATACCGTGGGAGGAGTATGACAGGTGATGTCTGTTTTATACGAACTGACATCATTTCAGGTACGTTTTCAAAACAGACCATAGAGCTTAGCTACGAATGTGGCAGCGACACGGCTAGAACAAGACAGACATCTCACACTTGACATCCCCGGCACTTACGCTGCCTTTTACTACTCCAAATATTGTGACATTTGCAATTGTTTGGTTTCAGTGGGTGATCTGGGGGTGATTTTTGCCCCCACTAGTCCAAAACTAACCACAATTGAAAGGGTTTTGCTCATCACAATCAAACACAATTTACCAACACTTCATGCTTTCCAAATAACT